AGAAGGGTCTAGGCCCGAAACGTCAGCCTTCCTGCTCCTCTGATGCTGCTTGGCCTGCTGTGTTCATCCAGCTCTACACCTTGTTATCTCAGATTCTCCAGCATCTGCAGTTCCTACTATCTCTGAAGATTCTTAGGGTGCGTGACAGGGTAGATGAGGAGAGGTTGTTCCTCCTTGTGGGACAGTCTAGGATCACAGGGAATAATCTCAGAGAAAAAGGCTGCCCATTTAAGACAGATGAGGAGAAATTTCTTCTCTCAAAGCATAGTGAATCTATGGATACCACAAAGGCTGTAGACACTGGGTCTTTAAATATATTCAAAGTTCAGACAGATTTAGAATAATTAAGGATTAGGAGTGTAAGGTAGAAAAGTGAAGTTGCGAGTTGTCAGATCGGCTATGATTTCACTGAATGGTGCAGCAGACTGGATGGGCCAAATGGTCAATTTATGAAGGCTACAGCTCTGGAATGAAGAAAGTTTCAGATTTCAATGGCCATTTGTGTGAAAACTGCTTCTTGATTTCTCTCCTAAGTGCCCTACCTAATTTTCTAATTGTGTCCTCATATTATTGATTCTGCTGTCAAAGTAAATAGTTTTGCTGTATCTACCATGATGTATATTTTAATACCTTAAACAGCTCGATCAGGTGTGTCTAGTCCACAGGTACTGGCAGCCCTCCAGTACCTCCTCCAAGTGCCCAACTTTAAATAGAGGCCTTAGTGACAGGTATTAAACTATTTAAATACAGAGACATCATAGTCAGCATCAATTCTGTCCTTGTCTCACCCATACTCTTCCCAACTTCAGTCACTGCATAGCAATCAAAACCCAAGAGAAGCCAAGCACAGCTGCCTAACTACTATCCAAGCTGAAAAGTCAACTAACTGGACTCAATGTGAATTGAGCATTGGTCTACATGGCTCAGTATCACACTGGGCAGACTGTTTACCTAATAAGAGGAAAGGGGAGATACAAAGCACTTCACAGCGCGAGTTTCTGATCCAGCTCTAAGAAAATGACTTCACTTTACAAATTTCTGACCCAGCCAGAACACAAACCAATTCGACTAGTACTGCCGTTATTTAAATGCCACATGACAGTATATTTTCACCGCTCAGTTTTGCAGTGGTGCAAAAGTAAGCCACAGAAGAACAGGGTGTATTCTTTCCTGTGTAACTCTCTTTTTATGCTTTGTGATTCTTAGCCACACAGCTCTCGGGATATTGGCAAAGACGAGTGTCAATGTAAGGAGGCAGTCCTGTCAGGTCATTCTTCCCCAACTTATGATCCACTGCCACGGTTTCCAAATGCTGCTCAAATGACCCCCAAATTTTTGCCTTGCTTCCCTTCCTGAAGAATATATCAAATATGAATCATTGCATGAAGAAACACCTCACTGAAAGTCTACAACATTATGAAAAGTTTAGATGAGCAAAACTGTTCTCATTAGTGGCTGGTACAAGGAGTGAGGGACGCAGATTTAAGGCTTTGGGTAAGAGACCTATGGTCAAGTGAGAGGAAGAACTTTTTTTTTAAAACACAGCAAATGGCAATGACCTGGAACATATCACCTTCAAGGGTGGTGGAAGTGACTTTAATCAATGATTTCAAAAACAAACAAAATGGCCTCGAGGAAAATAAACTTGCAAGGCTACAGGGAGAGTGCAGGGACCTGAGATGAACTAGACTGCTCTACAGAGGGCCAGCTTGGATTCAATTGGCCTCCTTCTCTATCATAATAGTGATGACTTCTTGCATCAGTTCTGAACTTATTTTTACCACCATCCTCTTGCTCTGCCATCCTTGCTTAACTGTGAGGATATTCAAAGGGAATCACACAACTCCAAAAAAGGTAGTGTCTACATATAAAGAACTAAACAACAAAGAGGGACAGGATGAAATGAAAAGTAATAGCTTGTGACTGGGCAAACTGGGGCAAATGATGAATGGAATGTTGGCCTTTATATCTAAAGGAATAGAACACAAGGGGTTAGAAGTCATGTTACAGATAGACAAAATTCTTGTTAGACTATACCTGGATTACTGTGAGCAGTTCTGGGAACCACATCCGTGCAAAGATGCATTTGGCTTGTGCCTTTTCTCTGCCTCTTTACGTTCAGCCACTTTCCTAGCCAGGTCAATCATTTGCCTTCAAATCCAAGATACTTCAACTTTAGCTAGCAGTCCCCTATGAGGGACTTTATTAAATAATATCCGTATACATTTCCCTGTCCATTACAGTACTTGAGTCATCTCATCAAAAAATGCTATTAGGTTCATCTTGTGCAGCCTATCCTTTGTAAAGTCAGGCTCTCTCTGATCAACTGAAAATTTTCAAGGTGTTTAAACATACAACAATTAATCGTAGACTTTAAGAATTTCTCAATATTAACGGGGTAGGCGATGGCCTAGTGGTATTACCGCTAGACTACGAATCCAGAAACCCAGCTGACATTCTGGGACCCCGGTTCAAATCCCACCACAGCAGGTGGTAGAATTTGAATTCAAAAAAAAAGTCTGGAATTAAGAATCTACTGATCACCATGAAATCATTGCCGATTATCAGAAAAATCCATCTACTTCACTAATGCCCTTCAGGAAAGGAAATCTACCACCCTCACCTGGTCTGGCCTACCTTGTGGCTCCAGACCCACAACAACGTGGTTGACTCTCAAGTGCCCTCTGAAATGGCCTAGCAAGCCACTCAGTTGTACCAATCGCTACAAAATCTCAAACAAATGAAACTGGACAGAGCACCTGGCATGGACCAAGGCACTGAAAAAGACAGCAGCAGAAATAGCCCTGCTGATCCTGCAAAGTCCTCCTCATTAACATCTGGGGGTTAGTGCCAAAATTGGGAGAGCTGTCTCACAGACTAGTTAAGCAACAGCCTGACATAGTCATACTTACAGAATCATACCTTACAGACAACGTCCCAGACACCACCATCACCATCCCTGGATATGTCCTGTCCCACCGGCAGGACAGATCCAGCAGAGGTGGCAGCACAGTGGGATTCAGTCGAGAGGGAGTTGTTCTAGGAGTCTTCAACATTGACTCTGGACCCCATGAAGTCTCATGGCTTCAGGTTAAACGTGGGCAAGGAAACCTCCTGCTGATAACCACATAACCGTCCTCCCTCAGCTGATGAATCAGTACTCCTCAATGTTCCGAGGATGGCAAGGGCACAAAATGTACTCTGGGTGGGGGATTTCAATGTCCACCAAGAGTGGCTCGGCAGCAGTACTACTGATCGAGCTGGTCAGGTCCTAAAGGACATAGCTGCTATACTGGGTCTGCGGCAGGTGGCGAGAGAACCAACAAGAGGAAAAAATATACTTGATCTTATCCTTACTACTCTGCCACTACAGGCGCACCTTTCCATGACAGTATCGGTAAGGGTGACTATCGCACAGTCCTTGTGGAGACAAAGTCCCGCCTTCACATTGAGAACAACCTCCATTGGTGTTGTGTGGCATTATCACCGTGCTAAATGGGGCAGACTACAAATAGATCTAGCAACTCAAGACTGGGCATCCATGAGGCACTGTGGGCCATCAATAGCAGAATTGTACTCCAGCACAATCTGTAACCTCATGGCCCGGCATATCCCCCACTCAACCAGTACCATCAAGCCAGGGGATCAACTCTCGTTCAATGGACAGTGTAGGAGGGCATGCCAGGAGCAGCAAACATACCTGAAGATGAGGTGTCAACCTGGTGAAGTCACCAAACAGGACTACTTGCACGCCAAACAGTGAAAGCAGCAAGTGATAGACAGAGCTAAGCGATCTCACAACCAATGGATCAGATCTAAGCTCTGCAGGTCTGCCACATCCAGTCGTGAACGGTGGTAGCCCCATCCACAATGATCAGTGCAAAAGATAAGGCTGAAGCATTCGCAGTAATCTTCAGCCAGAAGTGCCAAGTGGATGATCCATCACAGCCTCCTGCACTAGTCCCCAGCATTACAGATACCAGTCGTCAGCCGATTTGATTCACTCCACATGATATCAAGCAACAGTTGAGACACCGGATACTGCAAAGGCAACAGGCCCTGACAATATTCTGGCAACAGTACTGAAGACTTGTGCCCCAGAACTTGCCGCTCACCTAGCCAAGCTGTTCCTACCCGACAATGTGGAAAATTCCCCAAGTATGTCCTGTGCACAAAAAGCAGGACAATCCAACCCAGCCAATTACCGCCCCATCAGTCTACTCTCAATCATCAGTAAAATGATGGAAGATATAATTAACAGCGTTATCAAGCAGCACCTGCTCAGAAATAACCTGCTCAGTGATGCCTAGTTTGGGTTCTGCCATGGCCACTCAGCTCCTGACCTCATTGCAGCCTTGGTTCAAAGATCAACAAAAGAGCTGAATTCCTGAGGTGAGGTGAGAGTGACAGCCCTTGATATCAAGGCTGCATTCGACCGAGTGTGGCATCAAGGAGCCCTAGCAAAACTGGAATCAATGGGTATCAGGGGCAAACTCTCCGGTGTTTGGATTCATACCTGACACATAGGAAGATGGTTGTGGTTGTTGGCGGTCAATCATCTCAGCTCCAAGACATCTCTGCAGACAGTCCTCAGGGTAGTGTCCTAAACCCAACCATCTTCAGCTGCTTCATCAATGGCCCTCCCTCCATCATAAGGCCAGAGGTGGGGATGTTCGCCGATGATTGCACAATGTTGAGCACCATTCATGACTCCTCAGATACTGAAGCAGTCCATGTTCACATGCAACAAGATCTTGTCAATATCCAGGCTTGGGCTGACAACTGGCAAGTGACATTCGTGCCCACAAATGCCAGGCTATGACCATCACCAAAGAAAGACAATCTAACCACCGTCCCTTGACATTTTCAATAGTGTCACCTTCACTGAATCGCCCACTATCAACATCCTGGGGGTTACCGTTGACCATAAACTCAACTTGACTCACCACATAAACGCAGCAGCTACAAGAGCAGGCCAGAAGCTAGGAATATTGCAGTGAGTAACTCACCTCTTGACTCCTCGAAGCCTGTCCACCATCTACAAGG